TATTGTATAGGGACAAATTCGGGACCAAATAAATATGTCGGTTTAAAGGGAATGTCGGACGAGAGGGTGACCACTGTATCAACGTTAAAATAAAGGAAAAGAAAAACTCAAATATATTCATTTAATTAAACTTCAACACATTTAAATGGTTGTAAAAACATGTACTTATTTCATCAATGGAATGATAATAGTGACAACACATGTTATACTTTGGGATTACACTCTCTCAAGTAAGTACAGATTCTAGTACTTTTGTTAGTTTTGAGTCTCATCCGAAACACGAACCGTCAATCTCAGAGTCACCTAATCGCCAGCACACAAAGTCAGCGTTCAGTCTAAGCCACTCCAGGTCACTATATGGCTGAAATACTGCCGATGTGACTAGAAATCTTAACTCACCCACTCACTAAGGCACTCCACAAGAATATAGGTAATGGGTTTTCTGAGTGTGAAGCACTGCTTGACTGAAGTCCAACTTCCTCAATTGTAGGAAACACATTAACCTCTCCTGAATGATAATAGTTCAGGGACTTGAACTCTTCTTCGGTGAAATGTCTTGTTTCACGACGATCCAGATTACATTGTTCATGGGACTAATTCCATATCCCATTTAGAACATTGTCAAATTCGTGATCTCCCCCTTTGTCGCCATTCTCTTCCCACGGAGGTTACTTGTCATATCTTCCAACGAACCTCTGTTCTAATACGGCTCTTTCATGGTGCGAGTGATCAGGATTTGTGATTGTTTGCAATTAGATTTAGCGACGTTGTTTCCAAAGTGACCAAAGCCTCGGTAATTTCCGTATGCTTCGGGACAACTAGAACCTCTTCCCCAGCGCGATGCGCAAACGTTTTTTGTAGACAGAACTCAGTCATGTAATGGCGGATCAGTGGCGTCTCCATCGCCCTCGTTGACAACGAACAAACCAGCCATTAAATGTCTCGTGTGTCACATCAACACAAGTCCCCGGCAGAGGAGGGATATTTGTGGCCCCACATTTGCATGTATTATTAGTCAAGTTGAGCAAGTGTGGGGAAGGAATATCAACAAGAAACAGGGATCGGGATGTAACTTTGTCTGTCTATCATGTTACGTGAAATTAAGCTATGCAAAATCGAGTACGACATTGGCACCACGTTACAGAAACTGAAGGATAAGAGATTGTCAATGCCATGCTATTCCTGCATGGGTGACATTCATAATCAATCAAAATCGTACCAGTAAATCATAAGGCCCCATTTGCAAAGAACGGCGACCACTCTGCCTTCCCTCTGCGTTCTAACAATTTTCAGAGCGCCACTGAACGCTCAAAGGAGGCACGGCGAACGCAGAGCCATCGCCATGAAAGCAGAAAGAAGGCAGAGCCAACGCCAAGACTGTACTGCTCAAAACAAACGCAGAGCGGTCGCCGTCATGGGTGATTGATCAAAGGACGCAGGGGGAAGGCAGAGCGTTCGTTGAACATTCACTCTGCCTTCATTCAGCGACTAGCGCATCCCTTTGAACAACCATGGCATTCGCTCTGCCTCACCTCTGATTTTCCAGATTACATATAAATAGGTCTTGTACTGCCGATTTCCACGGTATTTGAGAACTGCCGAGCATGCGATCAGACTTCTCACCATGCCTCTGAAAATGGCCGACTTCGCGTGCGAACTCTTGTTCGACTTGAGAGTGTGAAGTGCGCATGTCTTGGCAGGTTACTCGCTCGAACTCACGTGGGTTGCTCTCTAGTCAACAAACATGGCGTCCTTTCGCACGTTTCACAGACTCTACATCCTGTTTAGCGATCTCATGGGTGACGATGAAGAAAACTATGCTCTATTTCTAAGTAAATTAAGACAGTGGGGCGTGGTCGCCAGCATACCTCGTTCTGTGCCAAAAGCAGTCGACTACACTGACATCATTGCTGAATTATCCGTGAATGATGATTACTTTTCTGAGCATTTTCGTGTGAGTCGACACACATTTGACATTTTACTGGAATATATTGAACCGTCCATTTCAAGACACAACAGAGGAGGAAATGACCCTGTGCCACCAGAAAAGCAGCTGTATATTTTCTTATGGTATCTCAGTAATCTTTGTTCCATGAGAGAAGTGTCACAACTGTTCGATGTCTCAATGTCTACTGTACATAAAGTTGTAACCAATACTTCCAAAGTGATTGCATCATTGCAGAATCGTGTAAGTTGTCAAGTTACGTTTAAGTATTAACAATTAGCCCACCTACATTAAATATTAGTAGTTGCAGGAATCATTTAACTGATAATCATATCTTGGATAATTTAATCATGTGTATCATAATTATTTTTTGTCAGTTACATTGTCTGGCAGATTGAAATGAAAATGCTACATTCTTGTATGAAACGAAAAGTGAAGAAACTACAATAAAGACATGCTAGAGAGCGATTTTCCAGCTATAAATTTCTCAGATTGTTCCACCACAAGCAACTGTTTTATCATATGTCGAAATGAATGTTGTAAAATGTTTAACTGTATGTATATTAATCCACTTTTTAACAGATGATTAGATGGCCAGATGAGCAGAGAAGAGCTGAAATAGCAGCAACAGTACAGCAGAACTCAGGTTTTCCAGGAGTCGTAGGCTTTCTCGATGGAACACACATCAGACTGTCATCTCCCATAGGACAGGACAGAGATTACTATAATCGTAAGGGTTATCCCTCTATGCAGCTGCAAGTGAGTACATACTATTGTCTTTGTTTCTTCTGCATCTGCTTGACTGTCCTGATATTTATTTTGATGTGATATTATTAAAAATATTATCATACTTTTCTTTTTTTTGGCTCATTGGTAAGAACATGATCCACTAATGTCATGCTTCATGGAACTAAAACAGGGATGTTACTTTTGCTAGTCTGTTGACCCATCATTCAGTATGCACCTTTGTACACTTTTGTTACGTTACATTGCCCTGCAGCTGAAACATTGCTGAAAGACAAAGTTGTAGAAAATGTCTCATTTTAGAACAATTTTCTTTCAGTTAGCTGTGGATCATGAACTGCAAATAATCAGTGCATATACAGGTTGGCCAGGATGCTGCCATGATGCCAGGGTTCTGCGCAATTCCATGATCTATCAAAAGGCTGAAAGAGGACAGCTTTTCAGTAATGGTCAACATCTTTTTGCTGACAATGCCTACCCTCTTAGAAACTGGCTTATCACACGTTTCAGATGTGTAGGAAACATCACACGTCAACAACGAAGATTCAACAAGAGATTCTCAGGTCAGCGACAAACTGTCGAAAGGGCTATAGGTCATCTAAAGGGCAGATTTAGAAGACTTCGAGAAATCCCATTTCACAACGCAGATGACGTCTGTCATATGATAATTGCAGCATGCGTTTGTCATAACATCTGTGTCCTTGCAGATGATGATGTTGAACACTTCATCGACAATGATGGATTACTGCATCCAAACAACTATCAAAACATTTACCAGAATGGTTACCATGGTGTAGCTAGACGATTGCAGTTAATGAGATATGTGATACTGATGAGGCTACTTTGGAGTTAATATGGATTGCATGTGAATAAAACATGCAAGCTTCTGTGATATAAATGTACCAAAGAAATCTCAGCTACTTACACTTTCAAAAGCAGTAATTGAGTTATTGTGGTCTGAAATATGTACATTTTTTTTCATCTCTGCAATGTAATAGCTGAAATCATGTTACAGTACTGGTTTCTTTAAGTAACTGAGGCTTAACTCTTTCCCTTTTCAGGGTCAGCAACTATTGCAGTCAAACCATGTAGAAATATAAAATGCAAAGAAAATATTTCAGTTGTGTTTATTAACAAAAAGAGAAACAACTTTCCAAAGGAGTTCTCACAAAACTAATGCTTCTTTAACATTGTTATTTGTCATCAGTATATCACAACCATAATGACAGTACGTCCAGACAGGAACAATGTCAAAAATGACATATTTGGCACATCATAGAATCTCTGTTAAAAAGTCTAAAAAACAAAATAAGAAAAATAGCACCGCAGCATTCTAGCTTCCTGGTCTTCATTAAAACAAAGACTGCATATATTTCGTTTACATGAGCGAGTGAGATTTTCTTCTACACACAATTCACCAATATACCCAACTGAACCTTGTACTAGGACCATAACATTGGTTTTATATCCGTATCACAAACTACATGAAAGTTTCAGAACAATCGGTTAGACTGACTGACTCAGTTTGGTTTTATGCTGCTTTTAGCAATATTCCAGCTATATCACGGCGGGGGACACCAGAAATGGGCTTCAAACAATGTACCCATGTGGGGATTCGGGTCACGGGTCTTCGGCGTGTCAAGCCAACGCTTTGACGACTAGGCTACCCCACTGCCCCCAATCAGTTGGAAGAGTTGCTTTCAGAACAAGTATCCCTTTAGGACTGATTGACATAATAAAACTTTGCAAACCAATTTAACAGAGGCAACATTTACTTTATAACTAAATCACCTCAGTCAATCTGTGAGTGAGAGAACAAGTAGTATCTGAGTATACACTACAGATGCTGAATCACTGCTCAGTTCTATGAACTCATAAAAACATGAAAACATAGTATTTTAATTATTGTAACTCATCAATAACCATCTGATATCACAGAAATGTGGAAATCACAGAACACTAAATATGATAACTGGATGGCATACATTTGCTAACAACTTCAAAAGAAAAAATGTATCTCTTATCCACTTCACTTTGTGGCAGATGAAAACAAATAAATCAAAATCCTGTTACAGGTATTTAAGCCTTTCAATACGCTGAAGTGAACTGTGCAAGAATCAAGCTCTACACACTGTGAAATCGTTATCCACAGTTACATTAACCTGCACTGATATCACAGAAATGTGGAAATCACAGAACACTAAATATGATAACTGGATGGTATACATTTGCTAACAAACTCAAAAGCCAAATATATCTCTTATCCACTTCACTTTTGGCAGATGAAAAGCAAATAAATTAAAAATCCTGTTACAGGTATTTAAGCCTTTCAAGTCAATATGCTGTAGTGAACTCTACAAGAAACAAGTGTTGATATACTAGTAAAATCCAGAGTAACATTAAACCTGCAGAGTTCAATCTTGTTTGTAATGCAGGAATAAAAACAAGTAAAACAAAACATGAACTCTAAATGCAACAGTTTGAACTTTTTGAGTGCAGTAATCTCCATTTCACTCATTCTTAGTTACCATACATGTTTGTTCGACCTCTCTCTGATAAAGATCCAGCATTCTATCTAATTTAGTCATTTTCTCAGTGTGTTGATGTCGGAGTTCTTGCTTCATTTCAGCATGCTGTTCCCTCATCAGCGCAATCATCTCCTCAGACCTTCTTTTCAAAGCTTTTCCACCTTTTTTCGGTTTCTTCTCAGTTGAACTTTGATCCATCTCCTTCATTAAAGATGCATTTGGGTCTTTGTCAGTGTCTATTGTAACACCTGGTTTAGTGCCAGCCTTATTTCCATACATATTATCAAACGATGTTTTGTGTCCTCTTTGTCAGTGTCTATTGTAACACCTGGTTTAGTGCCAGCCTTATTTCCATACATATTATCAAACGATGTTTTGTGTCGAAAATACTTCACTTCACTACCAGACGGCGCATCAATGATTTCTTTCCACTTTTTCTTCAGAGAAGAATATTTGTTGAATGCCTGTTGTTGTGTAACTTTACAATTGATAGTTTCGAGTTCAGCCACAATCTCCTTCCACGAAGTAGAATGATTTCTAGTAGAAATGAAATCATCATTTCTCTCATGTCTGAGACAAACAAGGTATTCTTCTTCCTTGTCAGTCCAGAAGTGAAGGGCATTAGCCATAGAAGATGTACTTGGCACTTCTTCATCAACACGATGAATATCTGGGGTGCTGGACATTGTTGCGGGAGTATCCGAGGGTTGACTTGAATGTCTATCCAAAAGGCTTGTTAATATGGACTGCTTTACAGCTGGATCTGAAACAATCATGGTTCCAGTGAAATCCTATATTATGTTTACCAACATTAACAACAAGAAGAACAAAAGAGCATCTAATCTTTGATTATTTTGAGAATGCAAGTCAAAAGTAATGGAAATATTACATTATATGACACATAGCATATATACTTCTCTTCAAAGGTTTAAACTTTTAAGGTTCAAACAGAATTTTTAGTTTAATCTCAAATGCTAATTAACAGTACATGTGGCAAAGATGGATGTTTAACAATATTTACCTTCAAACAATAATATTTAATTAGCCGTACCTGTTGTAGCCTCAGTCAAAAGATCAGCAATATCTCTTGGACAAGGAATGCAGACATCTTTGCCTCCTTTCTTAACTAGGAGCTTTACTTGGCTGCTGAAGAAACAATGTAATCAGGTAAACATAACCTCTTCAGAAATAAATGACATTCTCTTGCACATACTTGTACGTTTTCCCGAGATATGTAACTTTAAAATATGAACCGAAAATGATGGGCGAGTGTTATAGGTTTCATGTAAGCATCAATCTCTGAGCGAAATGGGTACAGTTAATCAAATTTTGTGTATGCCTGACCAAAATGCAAACCCCTGCCACCAGGGCTACAAGATTAGTGCTCTAACCATTCTCCTATGAATCAAACCAACATTTACAAGGCTAACATTGTCAGATACAGTATTCTTACCACCTTTGCAATGCATGACAATTTTTATATTCCCTAAAACTATTCTTGAACATAATCCCCAACATTTGTTCTTATTTCCAGGTAACCCTGCAGACAGTTCATACTGTCCTAGTGGAAGTAGACATGGTGGTGGTGTGTTAAAGAAATTCACCTATTCTTTTCAGACATTTTCAAGGAGAGTGAGTGAGTGAGTTAAGATTTTAAGTCACATCGGCAATATTTCAGCCATATCGTGACTAAAGCAAGTTATAAATCTATCAACAATTTAAGTGAAATGATAAAATTCTGCCGACGAAGGACAGTAAAATAACTAGATTATCACAAATATACATGTAAAACTAGTAATTGAATCTAAAACATTTTAACTAGAGGGGACAACACAATATAAAAATGGGCTATAGATCGCTAACCACTGAAGTTAGATCACCATACTAGAGACCATGGGGACTTACAGTACATTTGCTTCCTGCATGGGCCCTAGCTGGATTTACATCATCCCTTCAGCTGTTAGCAATTGAGATAAATCTAGCCATACGTTAAAATTACACATATTCTACGATTAAAAAATGGAAAGTTGAAATTTACTTTGAATGTTTTGGGACTTACGTACCCTCTCGGGAGGACAATAATTTTACAGTACTTTAACCCCCCCTCGAGGATACAGCCACTAACAATCTGTGTTACTAATTCGAACTTCCAATCATAAAATATTTAGCTATTTACAAATCTGTTAACAAATCTAATTCTTTTAAAAAAGGCAATAACTAAATGAGAACTAACATTATTAAAAAGATCCTTCAATGTTTTGACATTAAAATACTTATCCCTTGTGATGGAATATTCAATGCAGTCAAGCAAGACATGCTTGACTGTGATCCTTTCATCACAAGGGATACAAAACGGAGGATCTTCGCCTTTCAATAAATATTCATGAGTATATCTGGTATGGCCAATGCGACATCGTCGCATAATGACCTCTTCAAATCTGGACTGACAACCCAAGTAGGTGTAACCAATATAGGGTTTTATTGCATGTAACTTATTAATACCTACTTGGGCGTCCCACTTCTTCTGCATCAGATCGCGGATGTATGTTCTAATGCCAGCTTTATAATCAGAGTATGGAATAAGAAGTGGTGTCACAGATTTGTTGAGTGCTGCCTTGGCAGCAAGATCAGCCATGGTATTCCCAGAAATGCCAACGTGGCTGGGTAACCAACAAAAGACGATGTCGCACTGGCCAGTAGCAAGCTCATTATACAATTCAATAATGTCTAATAAAAGTGGATGTTTACAAGAAATATTTTTAATAGCCTGAAGACATGAAAGGGAATCGGAAAAGATTATGTACTGTTTATGTTTAGGATGTCGTTGAATATATTTAAGAGCCGTTAATATGGCGTTTGCTTCTGCTGTAAATATAGAGCTGTTATCGGGTATTCTAGAAGATATTGTTCTGGGATCCAATGACAGTGGCACATGCCACTGCGCCACCATCCTTGGACCCATCTGTAAATAAGGATTTGTATGTAGTATATTTATTTCTTAATTGACTAAATTCTTGTTTATACTGTAATTCATTTGTTTCTGATTTTTTAAATGTAGTTAATGTTAGGTCAACTTGTGGCCTAACTAATTGCCAAGGTGGAGAAGAAAGAAGACGGGAAGGAGCTATATTTTCCAGCTCAATGCCGGCAGCAGAAAGAAATGGTTTAATTCTTAAACCAAGAGGCGGAACAAGAGAAGGTTTTTTTGTTGTACAACTCCTCATAAGAAGGATTGAAAACACAGTTAAATGCAGGATTAGACTCGTTAGAATAGAGTTTTGTTATATACTGTAAAGAGAGTTTGATACGACGGTGGGTAAGGGATGGCTCATCAGCCTCAACATAGAGACTATCAATAGGAGAAGTTCTAAAAGACCCAAGACAAAGTCTCAGACCTTGATGGTGGACTGGATCTAAGAGTTTTAAGTTGCTTTTACAGGCTCCACCATATACGATGGAGCCATAATCAAGCTTCGAGCGGACAAGTGATCTGTAAAGGTGTAGGAGCGTAGTTTGATCCCTCCCCACCTTGAATTAGACACGACTTTCAATAAATCGAGTGCCTTCAGGCATTTAGTTTTAGGGATTTAATATGCGGAAGAAAGGTTAAATGAGAGTCGAAAATCAGACCTAAGAACTTGGCCTCTTTACAACCTTGATGGGAGTGCCATTTAAAAACAGTTCCGGTCTTTATGTGGTTTATATTTACGGCAGAAATGTATGCAATTAGTTTTTGATTTAGAAAATTTAAAGCCGTTTTCAAGACACCATTTATTTATTTTGTTTAAACACAACTGTAGTTGCCGTTCAATGGTATGCATATTCTTACCACGACAAGAAATATTAAAATCATCCACAAAAAGTGATCCATCGATAGAATCATTTAAAACCTTGGATAAACTGTTGATCTTAATGCTAAACAATGTGACAGACAAAATACTGCCTTGTGGGACACCCTGATCCTGATTATAATGGTCAGACAGGGTAGAACCCACTCGGACTTGAAATTGCCTGTCTTTTAAAAACTGTGATATAAAAAGAGGTAAACGACCCCTTAAACCAAAATCATGTAAATCCTTTAAAATGCCATGCTTCCAGGTGGTATCATACGCTTTCTCGAGATCAAAGAATATCGATACTGCATGTTGTTTATTGACTATAGCATTTTTGATAAAGGATTCTAATCGTACCAAATGATCAATGGTACTACGATTTTTCCTGAAACCACATTGAATATTTGTTATTAGGTTGTTGGTTTCAAGATACCATGTTAATCGATTATTTACTATTCGTTCCATGGTTTTACAGACACAACTCGTTAAAGAGATTGGTCTGTAATTAGACGGATCAGTATGATCCCGGCCAGGCTTTGGTATAGGGACAACAATGGCATTACGCCACGAAGGTGGGAAATTCCCTGAAGTCCATATTGTGTCAAAAATATTCAAAAGTGTTTCCAAACATGATTCAGGTAAATGTTTTAAGAGCTGATAGTGTATATTATCAGCTCCTGTTGCTGTATCATGAGCTTGCTCAAGGGCGGTATGTAGCTCATGTAGTGAAAACAATTCGTTATAGTCTTCACCATTATCTGATTTAAAGTTAATCCTTTTCTTCTCCTGTTGTTTCTGGTGTTTCTGAAATTCAGGAACATAATTCGATGAAGATGAATGTTTGGCGAGAGTTTCGCCAAGCTTGTTCGCAATATCGGTTTTATTAGTTAATATATTGTCACAATCCTTCAGATGGTGAACAGTAGATTTGGAACCTTTGCCCTTAATTCTTTGAATCATGTTCCACACCTTTGAAATCGGTGTGCGTGAATTTATCTTAGAAACATATTTCCTCCAAGACTGACGCTTATTCTGTTTAAATGTACGTCGAGCCTTGGCATTTAAAATTTTGACTTTATTTAAGTTATGAACAGTAGGATGTCGCCGAAAATATTTTTCAGCTTTCTTCCTGTTCTTTCTGGCCTGTTTACATGCATTATCAAACCATGGCTTACGAATATGTGGAACTGCAGAGGACTTTGGTATAGTTTGGTCAGCAATGTCATTGAGCATATCTGAAAACAACTGTATGGGATCTTCACTGTTCGCAAATGCATCATGTTGTAAGTTGTCAGTACACAGTGTCTCATATAATGACCAATCAGCCCTGGCAAAGTTCCTTCTTGATAAAGGTGGATCATCACCAGGGTTGATTGTTTTGAGAATAGTGGGAAAGTGGTCACTCCCACATAGGTCATCATGGACCATCCACTCAAATTCATTATATAAATTGGAGTCAGCAAGTGAGAGATCAAGGGACGAATATGTTCCCGTAGCTGGATGTAAATAAGTGGCTGAGTCATCATTAAAAATACATAAATTATTATCAGAAATAAAATCTTCAATTACCTTACCTTTATTGCTTGTACTTGTACTGCCCCATAGAGGGTTGTGCCCATTAAGATCGCCCATGATGATACAGGGCTTAGGTAGTTGATCATATAGATTCTGAAGATCAGATTGTCGAAGAGCAGATGAAGGTGGAATGTACAGTGAGCATAGGGTAAATGCAATTTGCAAAGTAAGGCGAATAGCTACAGCTTGGAGATTCGTTTGCAGGTGAACGTCACTATGAATGACATTATTTCGGACTAGTATAGTAGCACCTCCAGTTGCTTTATCTCCTGGAGGAGAAAATGAGTGATGACACTTGTACTGCCTTAAATCAAATGTTTCAGTATGTTTGAGATACGTTTCTTGTAGACAGAATGCTGACGGTTGAAGATCTTGAATTAATAACTGTATTTCATTGAAGTTATTCTTCAATCCTCTGCAATTCCACTGAATTATAGCAGACAATTGACTCATGATGGTGGTTCAATTGGAGATCTCTCTCGCGCATGGGAGGAGGAGCTATTCCTCCGCTTGTCCTGAGAGGACAGTGTGACCTCCATGTCGAGAGGTCCAAAGGGGTTCTCCAGAGGGAGCTCTGAAGGTAAAGGGACAGAAGGTGTCTCTTTCCTGTGTTGTTTTTTTTCCTTTCCCTTTTCCTTTTGCTGAACTGGTTGAGTGAGGCTGTTTGTTTACTGATTGTAATTGTATCTCAGGCTGACTCACAGTCTGAGAAGCAGAAGTAGACTGTGTGGCTG